ATTACACACCCACACCCACGAGTCAATTACTTCACTTTGCTGTCATACGATGAATGCAGGCTCTTAGCAGGTGCCAGAATGACAGCTTTGAAGTCTACGGAACAGGTTTTGCAGATGCATCAGCAGGACCAGTTCTCCCTATACACTTCTATCTCTCTGAACCACTGTAGCTTGACTTTAAGGTAGCTCCAGTTTTGTGTGAGCGTCTGTATATAACTTGCCATCTCTTAGGATACTCTGTTCTTTTGCTATCCAGAAGCATCCCACCTTTTTTTTCCTTTAATTTATTTAAATACAACCTCAGTTCGAGTTCTATTGGGTAAAATCACCTCTAGTTGTATTGCTGCCTCATGGGTTGAGTGGGCAGCAAGACCGGCTTCCTCTTCCTGCTCTGTGGACTCCCTCTCCAAACTGTGATGGAGAGCTGCTAAGAAGAGCAGCTGGTACTTTGCATTCTCATTACCTGTATTCTCTCCCACTGCAGATAACTGAGGAATTAAGTCTTCAGGGCTATTAAATCAGCACCTTTCATAGCTGCCAATTTCACAGAGCAATCTACTTTCAATTATGCAACATAATGGAAGTGGTAGAATACCCCAAATAAAGCAAAAACACGGATAATGCGAAAGGTAAATAAATTAGGCAGTAAGGATATATTTAGTGCACTCACCTTTGAAAGGCTGGTAGAAGGGTGCCTGCAAAGAACAGAGGCAGCTTTAAGCAGGCAGAATGGGGCTGGATGCCAGCGGGTTGAACGTTGCTCCATTCAGACCTGGTGCTGCAGCCTGGAGTGACAGAGGAAGGCAGGGCCTGGTGAATCCATGCTGTGGGTAATCCATCCATGTACCCCTCAGAGTTGAATACAATTTTATTTTGAATTAAAGAAATTATTCTTTAAGAAAACACATTGCTGTTCCTAATCAAAAAGTGGAAATAGGTATTCAGTCAATACTTCAAGACATTTCAAGTAAGGAAATGTTGCTGAGAAATGGGAGATTTTCTCTCCCATTGGCAAAGAGAAAAAATGATGTTTTGTGAGAAGGACAAATTCTTGTTTGGCTGTAAGAAACAAATTTTGCCCAGGGCCAGGGAGGCAAAGGTATGGCTAAGCTAATCTTTCTGCTCCCCATCTCAATCCATATCACTCTGCAGCTGCGCAGTTCTCCAGGGATAAGCTCATGGACACACTGACTAGCTCTCAAACAAAAAGCTTCATTCTTTGTTTTTGGCAGTGAAAACAGCGAGAAGCAGCAAAGCAGGCACACAGGTTGTGCTGAATCCTTTGGGATGGTCTCTCCCACGAACCTCCTGGGGGAAGAACCGGAGCAGTAGCCTTCGTTGCCTGTTGCTGTGAGGTACCCGTTCCCAGCTGTGCTGCAAAGAGGATCTGCACTCAAAATAGTCTTGCTTGGTCTGAGGAAACACAAGTGAGTAATCAAAATATTAATCAGACCTGTAGTTCTGGGATCTGAAGTCTTGTATTTAGCTACCTAGATACTGTGGGGTTGAGTGCCATGGCAGATTACACAGGTAGTTCAGTCACGTACAAATCAAGACCTAAACAACCCAGGGAAGGGTGTAAAATATACCATTTGAGATGCAGAAAGCTAGTATGGATCTAGTACAAAATGAGATCAAAGAAAGTGGCCTGAGCAGCAGTAACTCCACCTCTAATTTCCTGTGTCTAGGCACAGTTATCAAGAGAGTTGCAGTACACAAACTTACTAGCTGCCCGTGTCCTAATCTTCATGCTACTGTGGTTGAAACTGGGAAGAAACATGAAGCTATGCATGGATATGGTTTTGATGGCACTGATTTCTATAAACATTACGGAAAGTGAACATCTATACCGATACTGTTGACTTTAGCCACATACAAGGTCTAGTAACAGTGAATGCTTTAATGTTGTTGGCTTTGCTCATTCCACCTTGACAAATTATGGATGATATGTTTAATTTCCCATTACTGAACCTGACTGCTCCATAGATTATGGGAGGACTTTTATTTTCTTTTGCTGATGGAGAACTGAGGTACATTGTAGGGCTGTACCCAAATTATATAGGAAGGTATGGCAGAGCAGGTAACTGAAATGTGCTTTAATTATTGAACCCTATCTCAGTTCTTCAATGCGTATCTTCATCCCTGCCTAATTCTTCCTCATGTATCAAATTCATTGGGTTTTCCTTCAAGAAAGCAAGGGCGCTCTCAGTGCCTCAAGGTCTGACAGTTTGGGCCTTTCTTCCTGGATTCAAGAAGGTCTACAGGGCAATAGTGAGATACTGTAGGCTTCAGCACTGAGGATATGCTGTAGATACCCATTTGTACCTGTCTTTCACAACAGATGAAAATAGTGGTTTCCACTATACTTTTGGTCTCTTAGAGAAATGAACACATGGATGAATTGCTTCAGCTAAGAAGAAGAGAAGTGATATCAATAAGCAGCAGCAAGGATTACACTTTCATTCTGTACTGAGGGCTGCTATACGCCAATCATCAAGCTTAGAAGCAGTGCCTGTGCCCTGCAGGGATTTGCTGCTTCTGAAGAAAGCAATGGCAAAAGCTTTTGATTTTGTGGTTGGATTAAGTAGTTATCAGTATTTCTTGACTTAAGCTCACAAATATGCAGTTTGAGGTAGTTTCTTTTAGATCAATAAGTACAGTCTGCCTCATAGGCAAGAAAGGTGACAGAATAAACGTAAAATAGCAGCTCATGTAAGTGCTCCATGGCCTCGCTGTTCAACTTTAGATGCACTGCAAAGCTCCAAAACTGTCTGATTTCTAGCTGTCTTACAAACAGCCTCTTCACCCATGCAGCACTCTGTGGGTAAGGGCAATAGTTTTAAGGGAACCCAGAAGACATTGTGTTCTCAGCGTAGTTTCTAGCCTGACTTTACCTCTGGGGAACAGGAAGAGTCTGAGCCGGACTGTCCTCAGAGCTGTTTGCAAACTGTTCTCCGTAACAATAGCTGATGATTCATCTGGCACTGTGATAAACAGTCCCCAAACTTGCCTTTTAACCAACCTTTTCAAACAAAGAAAGGGGGCCTTCACAGACAGAATCATACATGTTTAATGATGGATCTATAGGAGAGTAATCTAGACTTAAGAGTAATCAAGACTTGCTTGTAATCAAGTGATTAGGTATGCTTGCCTGAGGTCAGGCAGTAAGCTAGTTTCGCAGCTCAGGGGACCCTTGTTCCTGTGTTGTGCTCACAGGACAAAAGCATGCTGACTCATCCATGTGTGGGGATGTATAAATGCCTGTTTATAACTTGTTTTTGCAGGCTTAGTAATAAAGGCAAATCCATGAGGTTGCAATCCTTCCTATGGTAATAGAACACTGTCACCACCAGCAATTACACTTAAAAACTGCTCTAATTTGAAAAAGAAGCTTAGTTTCTTCTTTATTTATGCCAGTAACACAAAAGGTCACAGATTTACATGAGTGCAAGGTTTGAAAGTTGTTTATCTGAGTAAACATTTGCTAAAAGAGATCCCACCTAGGTGATATCTTTTACAAATGATTGGTATTACGCTACCTAAACAAACTTTTATTTGGCAGGTCCGAAGTCAAGAGATGAGGAAGCCAGTCTAGAGGTATGCATCCTAGCAGAGTGAAGTAGGGAAGATTTATGCTGCTTGCCTTCTGCACTTGATAGTAGTGGAAGGATAGCGATGATTAATGAAGACTAAGATGCATTAATGAAGGAAGCTTGTACTACCCAGCAAGGATGTGGCTCAACCTCATCCAGAGGACAGACATCACACTGGCATCTCTGGAAAGTAAATGTGTCTGGAGATGAGTTCCTACATAAGCACGTGCAGAAGACATCCACTCAAAAATAAAATCATTGATATCTGTAACATAAAATACAAAAAAAAAATTTACCTAAGGAAGTTAGAACCTAAAAAAGCCAAAAATATGTCTACTGTACCAAAAAAGAATCATGTAGAAAGAGGACTAAAAATTGGGAGTAAAAGGAGGAACAAAGAGAAGAATGCAAAAGAACAGAACAAACCTTCTTCAGCTTGGCACTGCAGGGGAGGCTTGTGGTTGTGAAAGCACACATGGCTCTGCCAGGGGAAACTTCCTTCCTTTCCTTTTTTATAAACTTTTAACCAAAGATCAGTTACTCTTATTGGACTAGGGAGTGTAAATAGTTATCATCATAGGGGAATACTGAAGTCCTTGAAGCTCATCTGATTAACATCACCTAAGGATGTAGCATTTTATTTTTTAAGTGGAGAACTTTAGCTTGAAAAGCCCTAACACCTTCAAAAATTTATTTTTCTCTCTTTCTTCTTTTTCTCTTACATATCGGTAGATGAAGTCAGGGCTGGGTGTTTACTTATATTTCCTTAAATACCAAGAAGACAAGAAAAGATATTTAAAACACTGTGTATGTTGTACTTGATGGAGGTGGGAGGGAAAAGTACAGAAATGCGCCCTTTCTTGGGATGCATCAACTCACACACCTTCCTGGAAAAGACAAAAGGGCAAAGCAAAAAACAGCCATGAGAAAAAAACATCCACAACAGAAGCCTGTGTGTCACCTTCCACGTCATATGAAAATACTTTTTCCAAAATTTGAAAGCATTTCTTAAGAGCTATCAGAGCATATTGTTTTTTTTTACTTTTTCCTTTTCAAAGCAAAGCAAAGCAAAGTTCCACCCTTGCTCTCTCTCTCAGTCTCTCTCTCTCTCTCTCTCTCTCTTTTTCTCTTCTCTCTTGAAAAAAAAAAGTTTTGAGAATTTCACTTTTCTATTCACTGCAGTCCTGGCCAAAGTAAAGCCCTCTTTTACATTGACGTCAAGATCTTTACTAAGATTAGGGTTTCATTTCTCTATTGCAGCAATTAGCCAGGGAATGTATAAAAGGCTTCAGGGAAGCAAGCTAGGACTCCAGAGGGGAAAGCACTTTGCACCATAGACAGATAGCAAGAGAGAGGGCGAGAGGAGGAAGGCAGGAACAGAAAGGGGAGGGGGAGCAAGGAAAAGAGAGAGAGAGAGGGAGGGAGGAAGGAACAGAAAGTTTATGTACATAGACCTTTTTAAAAAAAGTATTGTTGCACCTGGTAGCTAGCTTTAGCGACACAGAAGTGAGAGGTCTGTGCAGTGCTTAAATAGCTCAGAAACAATGGGATAGTGCAGGAAAGTTAACAATTAACAATCTCAGCTTAAATTTTATAACTGCAGGGAACTGGAAGCACAGCTGCCTCTCTCCTCAACAAAATCAGAAGGTCTCCTGGTTAAGGGAAGAATTTTTGTTAACATCTTAGTTTCTGAGAAATAAAAAGCAGCTCCAAATTGAATGGGTATCATGCAGTTAGCCAGGCTGCTCATACTTAACTATCTCTGCTCATTTTAAAGAGAGAAACATCCTGAGGGGTAATGAGGCTTTCAAAATGCTTTTTACTTTATTTTTTTAAATGAGGGTACAGGGCAAAAAAGGGAGCTGAAGGCATCCGGTTGAAGAGAAGCAGCAAGGAAGATGGGTCTGCTAAGTGTGGATTTGCTGATCACGCTTCAGATCTTGCCGGTGTTTTTCTCCAATTGCCTCTTCCTTGCCCTGTATGACTCCGTGATCCTCCTGAAGCACATGGTGCTGTTCCTGAGCCGCTCCAAGGCTGCGCGCGGCGAGTGGCGGAGGATGCTGACCTCCGAGGGGCTGCGCTGCGTCTGGAACAGCTTCCTCCTGGACGCCTACAAGCAGGTGGGTGCGCACCCCGGCAGCCCCCGCGCCCGGCGCGCCAGGGCTCCCCAAAACCCGGCTGGCAACCGCTCCGTGCGCCGCGCCGCGCCGCGCCTCCCTAGCTGAAGTCGAGCCTGGGGGGATAGCCCGAAGGAGACGTAGTCCAGGTCAGGGGCCGAGGCGCTGCGGCTGGGGGGCCGCTGCCTGG